TTTCAGTGTTTCTGACAGTCCCGTTCTCTCGAGCTAACTCTGAACATCAGAGCAGTGGGAGAACAGCTTGCATTTAGCTGTGACTCATTCTCTTCCTCATAAGCACAAAACATGGTGTGCTGCAGTCCACTCTGGGCTGTTATAAATCCTCCCCCCCCCCCCCCGTTTGTGTTTTCAAAGACAGTATTCAATCTAGGCTGAGAAGGTGATGGAAAAGGGAGAGACAGCAAGGTTTTATGTCTGAACGACTCCACCATCTCTGGATACCGGACTAGGCATTCATTCTTTCCTTTAACAGTGTGTCTCCGTTTGTGCTAGCCCAGCCCCCAGTGTGGTACAGTATGTACTGTAGCTGACTGCTGCCTCCTCTTCCCATTGTTGTTGTACAGAGCCTCTCCCTTGCATACAGAACTATTGGTCGACCTGCCAAGACATGTCTCTTTTTGGTTTGTAATTGCTTGGGGCCACAGTGCTCCATGATACTGACATTTTCTCCCCTCCTCCTCTCTTTCTGCTTATGTATCTGATGATGAGTACATTTTCCTGTCAGTAGTGGGGTTTTTTTCAACTTATCATTCAATCTCAACTATTTTTAGTCTTCATCTGTCTCTTTGGTAATTTACAAAAACATTTTTGTTTCTTAGCTAAGCTCAATTATTTGAAGTTACTGGTGTTCTAAAGAAGGCTCTGACTTCCTCTGACAAGCGTAATCCCATGAGAGAAAGAGTCAAGTCAGGTCAGATTTCTTCTACTATTTTTGAAATTTCTTTATCTTTCTCTGTTTTTCTCTTTTAGGGCCATGACAGGTTTAAGTTGTCTGATTCAAGGGATATAGTGTGCAAAGAAAGTGTGTGCATTTGTAACTATCTCTGTCTATCTTTAGCGTTCATGTTAATGTGCAATGTACAGTGTAGGGCTGCGGCTAAGTATTATTTTATCATTATCACATAACATATGTGACAAAGCAATTTTCCAGCAAGTTGTCACATTTTAAAAGCTTGAACCAGAAAATATTTAGCATATTTGTTTGAAAAACTGCTGAAATGAATATTTTGCAGTATATTGATATAAAATATCTATACGTTTATGGCTACTTTAAAAAGAAATATCTATGCCAGTCCAGAGTTATTATTATTACTATATGAAATTAACATTTGTTTTCTTTCCTAAGGTGTTTTAGTTAGTACAGTCCAATTAGCAACAGTCTTATGCTGGTTTTAAAACACCTTTAACTGCTCTTCCACATGCTGTGATAGTGTACCTGGCTGTGTGTTAAATGGCAGGTAAAGGCTTGTAGGAGAATGTTCTGACACCATCTAACCAGACAGTCAGCCTGTGTAAGTATTGCAAGTACTCGTGTAAGTGGAAAACTCAGATGATCAGTGTAGCTGGTTTGTACTGGGTTGCACGGTTTTCCAGGCATAAGTGGCAGAGCCAAGCCTGCTGAGCTTCTGAAAGGACTGCGGGTTTCTAAATGGATATTCTACCAACCTCATAGTTCTTGTAGACTGACCTGAATTCAGCGACCTCTGTTACATGATCTGTCTCTGAGAATTAACCCTCCACTGTGTTAGCCTGATACCTGAAGGCGTTCTTACCTCATTGTAATGAAGGAAGGTTTCTTTGGAGTTCAACAGCAACATAAACAACAGTGGATTTTCTTAAAGCTGCAAAAAAAAAAACTGCTTTTCCAATTGTGTAATGAAAAATCTTTATTAAGGAGAACACTCTTAAAGTCGGATTGTGCTATATGTACTCCCAGATAGAGCTCAGTCTCTGTTCTTGTCTATGTCTCCCTCCCCAGTTTTTTGTCAGCCGGTATGTTTATATGTCCTCTGTTCTAATCACTGAGTGTCGAGGAAGCTTTTCTTAGTGAAAGGCTTTTGGGTATTGGCATGGGCCATGTTTTGAATATGTGGTATGCAGTGTTTTGCATCAGATGTTATTTAGGAAAATCATCAATCTGCATACTTAAATGGTCTCATGAATTTGTGTTTACATTTTCCTTAATCTCTGTGACAATCCTGCAGAAAAGAAAGCAGTTTAAAAGCTGAAGATGATGAATACCATTAACACTCATCAGTCTTCTGCGGTTCTGCTGACTGCCTTGCAGTGCTCCACAAAAGCTCATAACGGCGGGTGTTGGCTGAAAGCTATCGTCCCAAACTGCCCCCTTAAGCCTTTTTGTGCTCTGCTGCCTCCCAGCCTGGGGTCAACAATTCATCACCTTTACCACCTCCATTAACAGCATCTCTGCCTCACCAGGCCTTTAGTTACCCTGAAGCAGTTCAGTGAACAACTGCTCAGGTCATGGCGCCACACGGTGCCTAAAATGTGGGTGTGCAGATCGTGTTGTTATGTGTCGATCAAGAGCATGGATGAGTTTGAGGGAGAAATCGTGTGCATGTTATATCCTATTAGATGTTCAACTTGAGTCGTGGCTGAACACTGGGTAATCACTGCCAAGGCAATAAGACTTGGCCCTGCAAATGTTGCTGTCTACTGTTAGGTATTTTTAGTCAGATAGATATTGGTTAGATACTTTATGTATTAGAAATGTTTGGTTCAGGGTCTTTCATCTTTCATCTGCCTGCATGAAGGTCGGAGGTGCAAGATGCCTGAGCGTGTAATGTTAATTTTTACCTGTGTTCATGGAATAAATCAGCACTGTTTTGAAGTTACTTGGACTGCCTCGTCTCTCAGAGTTAGCAATGGTAAAAAGTACCGGGTACAACACTACATACCACAGCTAAACCACTTAGTTAATCAAAATATAATTCTGTGATATACAGAGATGTGGAATTTTGATTTTAATTTAAATAGTTGCTTTATTTTTTAATCAAGACATTTATAATGGCAAATATTTCAATGTTGTGTTCTTTATTAAATCTCTGTTAAAGATAACATTATAAGCTATAACAGTTAATTGATTAGTAAATCAATAAATTAATCAGTAAGTGATTTAAGAGACTTCCAATCTCTACTGCTGCATTATAACTGTAGTTTGACAGTATTTCTATGATAACCCTATGACAACTCAGTGTTTTGTTCCATTTAGTGCTTCATGAGCACACACACCAAATCTGTCCCCAGCCAAATTTAATAACACATCCTTTGGTATCACACAGCTCAGTCCTGGGGGTGTCTTCATTTGTGGGTGTTGACTTTGCATCTGTGTGTATGCGAGAGACAGTGAGTGAGTAGGCACTCGCACATTTGAGTGTTTGCATTTAATCTTGTACTGCCAGCTTAGAGTGACATCTCTCCCCAGAGATAAGAGGATGTTAGAGGCACTGCTGGTGAAATGGTCGCTCTTTCTATCTCAAAACACACAAAGAGGCTCGACAAAGTGGCAGTTCCTGGTGTTGGTGTTTGTTTTTGTCAAGCAAATGACAAGGTGCTGCACTAAACCACTGCCAATATGATTTTGTAACAGTACTAGAATTAAATAATGAGCCATATGTTTGTTAGTGTTGATGGCATTATTCATGTTCTTTGTTATCAGGGTGTATGCTTACTGAGAAGAATTGCTGCACATGGTATAGTTCTATTTATACAAGCAGATCTACGGATAAATTATTGAAAATCTTTAACATATAGTGACAGACTTCATTTCTGTATAAAGGCCCAAAGGGGTTTTAAGTGTTCAAAGTTAGCACTGGAAATAGCTCTGCTGAAGCCAAGCCCAAATTCTTGCATAACCACTTCACAGAGGGTTTGTATCTATGATTTCCACAGAACTTCACTTAGTCCTTAAGATCCATAAAGTAAAGTCAGCCTCCTGCTGTTGTGTCTCCGTTTACACAGGTGTTACAATGTTATGTCAGGTCTGCTGGATTTAGATGCTGTGTTCGTGCCAGATGGCAGCTCCAAATGTATGTGTATATTAGCATGTGTGTGGATAGTGTTTGGAGCTGTGGGAGTGCAGCACAGATACAGATCATTTACTCTCACGCTGCAATGCAACACTAAAGCAGACACAGTCTGGTGTGACAGTGATACATCATAGATGGGAAAGTGGATCAAAGAACAATTAACTTTAGGTCTTCTGCCTCATCCTGTCTTTACTGGCTAGCTTTGAGCTTCAAGTGTGTCATTAGAGCCATGTAAATAAACCTCACTAAAGATCCTGTCTCGCCACCAGACCGAGGGACCCGATGCTAGCATGTAATGAAGACAGTGTAATGAGCAGGAGATAATCGAGAGAAATTAGATCTGTGTGAAGTTCCTGGTGATGTTTTGATCCACTGAGGTATTCTCTGTACTGCACACCATGGCTGTCTCCACCCAGCTTGTCATGTTGATACAATGCCTGTGTAAAATGCAGCCTAGTTTCAAGTAACGATACCTCTGAGCTTTAATTATCAGCTCCACCTGTCAACTTGATAGAGTTCCCCAGTAAAAAGTTGTTTGACCCAGTAGCAGCTGCCTGTGGAGGAGACCAGCCAATGGTTTATGTCAGTGTAATGATAGAACAGCAGTATCACATTAATGTAACGCTACATTTTAGAGTCACTATTGTCTATTGAAACCTATTGTCAGGGTTCTCTAAGTAGACTGTGATGGAACCAACCGTAGGAAACACTGTTAGAGATCACAAACAGTATGTTTGTTTGGCATAATGTTGGTATATCAGTCTTCACAGAACCAGGCCACATACGAGATAAATGGTCCTTGTTTCCCCAGAGTCCTGAAATACATGGAAGCCATGCATCAGTTGAAAACTAAGATGCTACATATCCTGTCTAGAGAAAGGCTCGGCTCTTCTGAGTTTACTTGCGTACCATTGATAATTAATTTGTTACCATACATTATTTAAATATGGTTTGGGACTTCAATTTGGCTGGTAGTTCCTTACATAAACAGAAAATAGTCATGAGTCCAGACCAGAACCAAAGGAAGAATCTTCAGATCTTATTTTTGTCTGGTTCAGAAATCAAACCCTGAAGAGCTTCTGTCATTCAGGCCACTCATTCTTTCACCTGTTTTTGTGTCTTTAGGTTGTGCGCGGCCACCTGGTGTGCAGCACGGAGACCTGCTGAA